TTTATGTTATTTTATTTTATTTTATTTGATAAAATCCAGATCCTCCATATCAAATGGTGAAGCGAATACTACGATATTTTATACGCCACCGATTTTCGGAGGAAAGAAAGTATATATATCTATAATTATGTGCATGTTGATTTATGAGGGAAAAAAAAGATTATTATCTCTCGCCTCGACTATGAATTTTCAACTTGCATTACATGATTTTGTAAATCTAGAAACTTGTAATTGGCATGTGCAAGTTTTGATCTATTTATTTAACAATCTTGTTTAAATTAGCAAAGGAAAATGGGCTGATTTAGATAAAGAAATGAAAATGACTCCGTCGCATAGGAGTCCAAATTAAGGGTCCATTTAACGGCTACGATAATTACTCCGAACATAATGTTCGTAGAGAAAATGGACGTCGTAATCCCCGATAATGGCCGATATAGAAGTCATAAATATAACTCCGGGTGTGATGCCCGTAGAATCACTAAAAGTTGTGATTCCCCTCAAGGCCAATGAGGCTATTAAAATAAAAATAATTGGGTGCAGTACCCATATAAACGATGGACATTTTTGTTAAGGGATCATAATAAAATTAAATATGAGGTTAGACCTACAGATGACGATGTGAAAAATAGTCATCGTCAAGATGTTCTTAAATTGACCGAGGTGGATGCAAATATTTCCGTCCAAATAATCATTTGGTCAAAGTAAATTAAAACTCATGAGTTTATTGCCTACAAAATATATTTTTGCCTATGAGTAAAGGTTATATATTTGAGATCATGCATGATAATATTCTTAATGGTTACGATATAACTCTCTCGATGTAACGGTTTTCGAGATCGAATTTATTTATTTATGAACGTACCTCCCTCGGACGATATATACCCGAGGTTGAGCCTATAATATTTTCTCGAGATAAATATAAATGACGTCAAATTTAAATACTTATCTCGGATGATTTTATTCCCGATATTGAGCTAATTCCTAAGATAAAATTTATATCTCTCTCGGACGACATATGCCCGAGATCGAGTTTATAATATCTCCCTCGGACGATACATTCCTGAGGTCGAGCTTAATTATATATTCCCCAAATAAAAATTTACGATTCTCTAGCTCAGACGATTTATTCCCGAGTTTAAGTTAGAACTCCCTTGGAAGAAATATTCCCAAGGTCGAGCTTATACAACCCTGATGATATTGGTAATATTCCAAAGTTAATTTGATATGTCTACTAATTGTGTAACATGTACATATCTCTCTCGGATGTTAAATTCCCGGGATCAAGTTTACAAAACTCCCTAGAACGAGAAATTCTCGAGGTTGAAATTATATATCTCTCTTGGATGTTAAATACCCAAGATTGAGTTAGTATTTTATGGACATATTATTTAATATGGATGTACATGTTAAACACAAACATAATAGACTATTGTCTATATATTATAATTTCGAACTTTGAAATTGAGTTATATATCTTTCTCGGACTGATTCCCGAAATTAAGAAAAGCTACATATCACCCTCGAGTAACATATTCACGAGGTCGAATTTTAGAAGTTTCTCCTTCAGATGAAATAATTCTGAAGTAGAGTTTGCATATCTCCCTTGAAATATATATATTCTCGAAGTCGAGTTTAAACATCTTCCGGGATGATAGATTGATCAAATTGACAAATTGATAAGTTCTAAACCTTATTGAGTGTGATATAGTGCAAAACACGAACTAAAACTATATTACTTTCCGTAGAGATCATGGCTCCGGGAATAAATAATTCTTTTGCTTATGATATTAAAAGCATTAGCTCTTGTATTGTATTGTGTCATAATTCGAGTTTTCAATTACTACACCAACATGTCATATAAACTGGTTAATCCTGAAATATTCAGGTTTTGACATGATAGTATGGGGACGCCCATAAAATATAATGATGTGTAGGAATACATAATATACTAAATGACATTCGTTAAACGGTGAAGGGATCCCAATGTCCGAAGAGTATTCTATGATTTATATTAAACAGAGATTTTGGTATATAACCTTTAGTGCAAAAGGGTTGATAATATTTATGGACCAATACAACCTTTCAAGTGGACCAATGTCTTAAATATTTATGATTATGTGAGAAGCATCTTATAAATGGTCTCGCGTGTGTTTATTATATACATGCAATATGGTTTTGCACTTTTTCTGCACAAGTTACTATACCCCGGGCATATGATAAGGGATAGTGCCAAAGAAACTCGATCAAAATAATTTTGATAAGATTGTGCAGTACTTGGGATAAATATCAGTACCTTGTAGCACACGCTCACACTCATATGAATCCACTGAATAAACGGGTCATAATAAACATACTCCAGATAATTCTGTAGAGTTTAATCTCTCAAAAAACGCAATTATACTTTTTCGGGATGATTATGCCACTGAACCACCTTCAAAACAATAGAATGTCGGCAGAGCCAAATTTGGCTTAAATGCGAGAAAGCGATTAAATTGGAATTGGCTTTCCTAGAGAAATGAAATAAATACGAATTAATAGTACCAACTCCGAACAATATAAATTCCCTAAATATAAATGGAGTTTTGTTCGTTAGAGGAATAATGACACCAAAGTTGTACAATATAATGTCAGCCTTATAACTCAAGCATTCTCCCAATGATATGAAATTAATTATTATTAGATGTATTCACACGTAATGAATACAATCATTTTTCGTTTCCTAGGGTTGTCCATGAGGGAATGGACATACATCTAACAGGCATTCTAATTGTTATCTTTATGGTTCACTGAATTTTGATATTTAAACCCATGTGGATTTAAAATGCGTAAAGCAAAGACGAAGTGATAATATGTTGCACTCTTTTTCCCTTTTGTTTGGTTTTTTTCCAATGTGGTTTTTCCGACATAAGGGTTTTAACGAGGCAACTTATAAATTTTTAAATAGCCTATTTTGGAGGCATATATATTATTGGTTTCAGGGGGAGCACATAATGTTATGATGTGTTGTACTCTTTTTTCCTTTTGACTGGTTTTTTTCCCATTGGGTTTTTTCAGCTCAAGGTTTTTAATGAGACAACCTACAAATTGATTGATAGCCCATATTGGGGGCTTATATTGCTCATTTCAGGGGGAGCAATAGTGCACTGCACTCTTTTTTCCCTTACGACTGGTTTTCATCCCATTGGGTTTTCCAGCTAAGGTTTTTAACGAGGCAGCTTATGCACACGACTTGGATTTGAGTCATGCACTCTTTTTCCCTTTCGATCGGTTTTTCCCACTGGGTTTTCCGGCTTAAGGTTTTTAATGAGGCATCAATTCAGTCGATACAATGGTGCTACGTCCAAGGGCGAGTATTATAATATTATGGACTTTAGCAAATGGGGTTTTTAGTCCCTTGACAAGTGTTAGGACATATGTAGCCATTTCCAACAATGTTAGATGAAATGTTGACAAGAGTGTTAGTGACGACTCACTATTTTTGTATTTTGTATGTATAAATAGATGTACAAGTGAATTAATAAAATACAACTTTTGCTGAATATTTTCTCTCTCTACTCTCCTCACATGCACACACACTCTCTCTCTACTCTCTTTCTCTCCTCACACACACACACTCTCTCTCTATCTTTCCCACTCACTTGTTCTCTACATATATATTTATATTAAATATATAGTGTAGTATATTATATTATATTATATAGAGTGCATATACATACATATATACATAACCGTATAAACACATACATATATTAGTTACATATTAAAAACTAGTATATACACACACACACATATATATATATATATATATATATATATATATATATATATATATATATATATATTAGTTACATATTAAAAACTACACTACAAGAAAATATGAAATACGCAACGATTTCTTTGTGGACGAAATTAATGTCGTTGCCAATAATTATATTTTAGCGACAAAATATAGTAATTGTGGCTAAAGAATAACCTTTTTCTAACAAGAAATTTTTGTTGCCTTTGAACCTCATAGGCAACGAAAACTATTGTTGTGAATAGTATCATATATATTTCGCAACAAATTTAATGTAAGACAACAACTTCATTTGTTGCAAAAGAGTGTTTCTTTTTGCTACGATATAAAATTGTAGTAAATACATATACAACGACAACAAATTTATTTTGTTGCCAGTAAGTGATAAAAGACAACAAAATATTTTGTTATAAATGCTCCAAGTGATTTGGCAACAAAATATAATCGTTGCCAATTTACAAACCAACTATTTTTTTCTTGATTTTAATTTATTGTATATATTATTGTTATTATTATTATATATATATATATATATATATATATATATATATATATATATAATAAAATATGATAAGAAAAATCTTATTTATTTATATTAACTAGCAGTAACTCATGCATTTTTTGTTAAGTTAATTGTTTATATGGTTTTAAAAATTAAGTATATATACATTTATTAATAGTGGAGAATTAATGACAAGATGTTATATTTATAATTTAATTTTATTGCGAACTTTCTTGTAGTGCTAGTTAATATTGATTAATTATTAATATTCACACCATTAGTGTTTCTAATAAAATATTTAATAAACGAGCTAATGGGAATTATTTCACAACAATATTCTATATTTTTTTAATATTTATATTTTATTTTTATTTATTTCTATAATATTTTATATTATTATACATTATTTAAATAAAAATAATATATAAAAAATAATAAAAAAAATAAAAATAATAAATAAGGCTCGCGAGCCAGCTCGTGGGCTCACGAAAAACTATAAAAACTGGTTCGAACTCGTCTCGTCAGAAAACTCGAGCTCGAGCCCAAAAAACTCGAGTTCGAGTTTGAGCTTCTTTCGAGCCGGCTCGACTCGTTTACCACCCCTTATACGAACTACGGAGTAGTAAAGGAGTTCACATGGTGGACTCATCAGTACAAATAATTCTTTTATAGGGCTCTTCAGTAATTTCGATAAAACAGAGGAATATTAGTGCCCGAAACCGATATAAACGAAATAAAGTACTAATAAACATTCAAGGCGCTCAGATGGGAGATTAGAGAGAGCTTCAATCATTTCAACAAGACGCAGAAAAAATGTTGCAGTGCATTTTTCTTCTGTCCGATTCCGGGTATATTATTTCTTCTGTCTCTATGTTATATATATCTCTCCACAATTTGTTGCTGTGAAATTGCAAAATGATAAAAATTTAGAAAAGTTCTGATTTATGCGTATGTTTGTTGGGTAATCTAAATTAGGGCAAAAATTAGTGACCATGACGATTCCGGAAATTGTTGATAAGAAAGAAATATAAAATTCTTTGATTGGTAACGATTTCAGTTCAAAGCTGCAAAATTATATGAATATTTTTTTCAGTAATTGGAGTTACAAATTCAAGTATTGTTGCATTACATAGTAAAGAAAACTTGTGTTATGTAAATTAATGGAAGAATGAAGGAGTGTGCAGATCACGTGAGGTGATTGTGAATTTTTTTCAGGGAAGTGATGCTGGAGAAACAGCTCACGGGTCACCGGGTCGACCGCTCCATTTGTGCGTGGTTCTGGGATCAGATACTTACTCAAGGTGATTCTCTGAAGGTAGGTAAAACCCTGCTACTACTGATTAATAATCCCGATTATATTTATATTCATGAGTTGTTTTGATTAACTCTATTTTCAGGATTGATCCATTTTCTTCTTGTTTTGATGATGTAGAGTGTGCCTGTTATTGCTTCGCCCACGCATTACCTTTTTCAAGTGGTTCGTGACGGGATCACGTTTTTGGCGTGTACTCAAGTTGAGATGCCGCCTTTAATGGCGATTGAGGTATTTTTTTTTTTTTTTCGGTTAAACTCTCCCTGAATACTATCGGAATATGTGTGCATCTCTTCTAGAGATTTCTCGTGATCCTGATTTGAGGGTAGAATAAATTGAGGTGCAAATTGATTCCAAATTGAGCCATAACTTGTCTTTGTTTTGCTTGTTTTTCGATTGTCATCAAGAACTGCAAAATGTAATTGCTTTTTAAATAATAGAGAAGTCTTTTTATTTTATTTTCGGAATTGTAGGGCATTTTATTATTTTGTATAAAAATGCTTCAAGAAAGTGTTAACTAGACGAGATCAGAAAATGTTGCTGGCAAAGATTGACTTAATTCAAATTTAGATAGCAAAAGTTACCGGAAACTGTGGTTACTCTGTTTATGAGAAATACAAGTACGTCATTGCCTTTAGACAATGGAACATATGAACAATGCTTCGTAATTAACAAAAAATGATAATTTCAATTTAGCAACAAGAAAGCCTGTATAATCAATAATAATCGGGCTGTTGAACGGTGTCATCATACAATGGCTGTCCAAATAGTTCTTCCTTTGAAACTTATCATAATGCATAATTTAGGACAAATGGTGCAACCATCGTAAATCAATGATAGTATAATCATCTGACCGTTGTAAGTGATTTACAATCTTCGTATTTGCAATCTGGTGCACATTAGCAACTAGCAAATAGCAAGATGTTAGCATCTTCAAACTACAGTGCCAATATGAGGATTGATATATCTGATTGCACATCTATTAATGTATAAATAAAGATATTCATATATATATATATATATATATATATATATATATATATATATATATATATATAGATCAAGAAGAGTTATATTTAAAAAAAAAAAAAGGAAGATGAGTACGGCTGACTTTTCTTCGTGTACTGTGTATCGATGTGATTTAGTTATAACATCCTAGATGTAATCTGAGCTTCCTCTTGCACTTTTGATTCTGTAAATTTAACCATGCATATATCAAGGCAGCAAAAGTTTGACTGTCCGATTTGTGTTAGTATTATTATCAATAATTCTAGGCTTCTAGTCCTTCTGTACACTTTCATACGGTGCTAGGTAATATTGATTTAAATATGCGCTATTTGTAAAGCCTTGTTAAAAACTTGACATTTTTAATTTTTAGTTTCTTTGCAGGGTAGCTGATGTTCTTTCCGATTATTTGGATGGCTTGAACGAAGATCTGATTAAGGATAATTTTGTTATCGTTTACGAGGTATATATGCTGTGTCCAATATTTGGTGTTCGAGGTTTATTCTTGATTACCTATTTACCCTTATGTCAATCTTTGTCTGCATGAATGTGGTTAGTCGTCTTTTTAGTGGTGGTTACAAACAGATAATTGCACATTACTGTTATTAGCTTTGTAGTGTTCTGTAGCTGAATTTCCTTACTTCATTAACTTATGTTCTTAATCGATCGTGTAATTCCATTTTAATCCCGATTGCATATAAATCTGAATTCTGTAATAAAGAATTCAATCGACTTAGATTGGACAGTAGCTTCGTGTTAGTACTTTGTAAGTTCTTCTGTGATGCTACTAGAAAATATAGAAACGAATCAATGACATGAATCTTTTCGTATGGATTATTATTTCTACGACTTTTTAGCATCTGCAACTTGTAATGTATGTCGTTAGCAATCATTGTGCGTTTCATCGATTTGTCTACCAAAAATAACAGTTGGTTGTTGTTCGTTATATGGACTATGTTTTATCTTTCATAATTTATTGACATTCTTTTAACTCATTTAAAATTAAACTATGCAGCTGCTCGATGAGATGATAGACAACGGGTTCCCTCTAACAACTGAGCCCAACATCCTGAGAGAAATGATTGCTCCTCCGAATATTGTTAGTAAAGTTCTAAGTGTGGTGACCGGTAACACCTCCAATACGAGCAGCACCACACTTCCAGGTGCCACGTCATCGTGTGTTCCGTGGAGGAAAACTGACCTTAAGCACGCTAGCAACGAAGTCTACGTTGACCTTGTCGAAGAAATGGATGCCACCATAAACAGCGATGGCAATCTCGTAAAATGCGAGATATATGGGGAGGTTCAAGTAAATTCACATCTATCAGGTCTCCCAGATCTCACTCTCTCGTTTGCTAACCCTTCAATTCTTCACGATGTGAGGTTTCACCCTTGTGTCAGACTTCGTCCATGGGAATCAAATCAAATTCTGTCCTTTGTCCCGCCCGATGGACAATTTAAGCTCATGAGCTACAGGTTTGCATTGTTTATATATATATATATATATATATATATATATATATATATCCCCTTGTACTTTGGATCGATATCACTTTACCCCTTCTACTCTCGATTGCATCAATGTGGCCCTCGCCGTTAGTTTTCAGACCTTTGACCTTAACACGGTTTGATTTAAGTATGAAATTTACAAAAAAGCCACCCCTCCCAGTTTAAATAATTATTAAAAAAATTAAAAGAATAAAAAATAAATTGTGGCTGGGGTCGTGGACTATGTTTTCTCGTTGTCTTGATTTTTTATTATTATTTTTTTGTTTTTTATTTTTATTTTTTTAATAATTATTTAAACTGGGAGAAGTGGCGTTTTTGTAATTATAGAGCTTAGATCAAACGGTTTTTTAGGTCAAATGTCTGACAACTAATAAGGGCCAACAAGGGCCACATTGAGACAATTTTTCAAGTGCTGGGGGCAAATCGATACAATCGAGAGTAAAAGGGGGTAAAGTGGAATTTACCCATATATATATATATATATATATATATATATATATATATATATATATATATATATATATATATATATATGCAAAAGTTTTTTCGTTTTAAGCATTTTTTCACGAATTTTTTTATTTCAGGGTAAAGAAGTTGAAGGGCACTCCAATTTACGTGAAGCCACAATTGACCTCTGATTCAGGGTCATGCCGAATAAGTGTATTAGTTGGAGTGAGAAATGATAATGGAAAATCGATCGACTCTATCACAGTTCAATTCCGATTGCCACCTTGCGTTTCTTCATCCGATCTTTCTTCGAATCACGGAACAGTAAATGTTCTTGCTGACAAGGTATTTGTTTCACTTACGTTAATATAGCACTTGGCGAATTGAGGGATAATATTTATTTTGTCATCGATTAAGTTGACCATTTTATTTTTATTTTTGAAGACTTGTTCGTGGACAATTGGACGAATCCCGAAAGATAAAGCTCCTTCAATGTCTGGCACTTTGGTTCTCGAGACAGGCATGGAAAGGCTTAATGTGTTTCCAACTTTTCAAGTAGGTTTCAAGATTATGGGTGTTGCTCTCTCTGGCTTGAAAATAGAGAAATTGGATCTATTGAATTTACCTGCACGGCCTTATAAAGGTTTTCGAGCTGTTACCCGAGCAGGTGAATTTCAAGTCCGATCGTAATTTTTTTTTCTTTTCTTTTTAGAAAACGTGAATATTATATCTGGTTTAAAATTCGAGTTGTATTATATCTGGTTTAAAATTTTCATAGTGCATTTAAACTTGATAATTTCTACTGTTTCTTCTTGGTGTGTGTGTTTTGGTCTTGAGCCCTGATAAGAAATAAATGTACTAGCTTTCTTAATTATTGACAATGGAAAAGTGTTTAAATTATATTGCCTTTTGTTTTATCCTCATGCTTCTTGTATTTTTTATTCTTTCTTTATTCTTTTTGTATTTTTATCATTTAAATATAAAAAAATATAATATTTATTATCTTAAATATTAAAAAAATAAAATTAGAAAATAGCTCAAATTTCAATAAAAGATGATTCAAAATATTTATAAATGGCAACACAACATCCGAATACAAACTTTTTCTCATTACAAGACTTGTTTTAGTATTAACTTGAAAAATAAGTGCACAAAAAATAGAATCGAACCTAGAACGAAAGTAGCCTCGAAAAAGGTTCCTTCTCAAGCAGCAATCTTGTTAACCCTAAAAGAATCCATGACCCGGCGAATATCACTTTCCTCTTCCAAAAACGATTTCTCGGGCGTCTGTAACCTCAACTCGTACAACTGATTATTCTCAACTCCAAGAACCGAAAGATATCGCCGGTCCCACTCTAGACGCGCCACCCTATTCTCAGGCATCACAGCCAATTCATTGTTGTTTGCATACGACTTTATATTCACCTAATTACATCCAACAACATTAATATAATCATTCTCCGTATTTTTTGCATGCAAAAATGAAAAAAAAAAAAATTTCAAGAAAATCTCACCTCAACAACATAGTATAGCTTTCCATCACTTGCTACTTTCGACGAGGTTGTAAGAATACTAGATTCACGCCTGACACCGAGTCTTGTAGACATGAACTCGGTCAAATACTGTTTCAGCACTTTCTTGCCAGCTTCTTCAGGTGAACCTAAATCTTGGACGCTCTTGTAATAAGACGATGAAGGTGAAGATATTTCAACCATAACATTTTCATCGAGTACATAAGGATCTCGGAAGAATATATCTGCACCGGCTCCACGCACTCGAATCCAGTTGTAAGGATACATAAACGAGTAGCCGTCGAAGTTATCTATGTATTCTCTGAATTCGACGGGCTGTGCAAATGCAGCGTTGTGTGGATAATTGGCTTGCGAGAAGACGAAACCTGATAGGATCAATGCCATTGCGTTTCTTCTTGGAACTGCAAAATCTTTACTCTGGTTATATATATTAGAATATGTCTAGTGAGAAGCCATGTGGCAACACATATAATGCAACGAGAGTAGTCTAAAACGAGATTACTTCAGCGTATTATTGTTTTATAATGGATAAAGTTAATTACAATAAACAAAAATAAAATCAGGGAAGGGACAAGAAAAACGGAACGGTTAAATGTCGACCGTGATTGATCACAACTTATAGTCGATTAGAAAGCTTAGGACAAATGTTATGTATATACATTTTGAATTATTTTCTTTTATTACTCCAAGAATATGTAATATAAGTAAGGGTAAATTACAACCACCCCTGAGGTATGGTCAATTTACGAAAAAACCCCTCTTGTTTGGATAATTACATCTACCCCTCAACTATGGTTTTTTCTTACATCTCCACCCTTATGGTATCAAATTCATCATAATCATCTAAATTTCGTGGAATTTGCTCTAATTTTTACTCGTTTTGTATAAAAATACAGTTTCTGATACACCACAATCTGATATAAACAAGCCAAAAAACACGTATTATGATCATCTTGCTTCAAAATGTAGAGTTCAATGGGATAAAACAGGTACAAAGGTGATAATATTGAAACCACAAGGGTGGACGTGCAAAAAGATTTATAGTTGAGGGGTGGTTGTAATTACCCAAACAAGAGGGGGGGTTTCGTAATTTGACCATACCTCAGGGGTGGTTGTAATTTACCCTATAAATAATGGATTTTTTGTTATCTATCAAGTTATCAACAGATATAAATTTGGGTACCACAAAAGACTCAATTCTTGGGACTATATGAAACACCAATTGCATCATATGTCGGTTTCTATGTTAACACGTAAACGAAATTCGATAAAAATGTGGTTTCATTCACTACTAGTAGTATAGTCTCTAAACTAAAAAGTGTGAACGTATAAATGCAGTCATAAGTACCTTTCATTTTGATTAATTAAAATCGGCCAATGAACTCTTATCTATGCATCGTTTACGAGCCTTTAGCCGTTCCCCATACACATAATTATTTTAAGAAACTACACATATTGGCAATTGAGGTGGAAGTTTAATGACAAGGAAACTCACTAAATCACATCCGAACAACAATATAGTTTCTCATACGACGAACGAACGAATCAATCATTCAAACGTGCATTTCGTGATTCAATCATGTTTATTCGATTTTATTTGTAGCTTCAACATGAAACATTCATTATAAGTAACAGCTGGCATTGCATTTTATGAAAAATTACTCACTCCATACTAATTAGCGGTTCTGATTAACATTCATTATGTTTCAACTTTCAACCCATGACGAAAAATTACGCGCCAAAATTCCATGGCAGGTGAATATATGTTGAGTTAAATTTAGGGAAAATTTTCAATAGGTGGATGATTCAGGAACTCACCTCGTGTAATTTGCAGGAAACTGGAGGGGCAGCGGTGTATTTTGCTGAAACTGAACTATGTGCCGTTATTCCATGAAAACCAGTTCCGTTGAGCTTCGGAGAGTAAATCGCCGTCGACGGTGGCTGGAATCTAACGACGACGGCGGTTGCCATCGTGATTGTCCGTAGTGTGTGTGTTGATTTTGGGGTTATCAAGATAAGATAGAGAGATAGAGAGAGAGAGAAGAGAATATTGCGGTTGGATTTTTTTTTGTTAGCTGAGGAAAAGAAATGGCGCTTTTGGGGAAAAGTAAGGATAGATGGAATTAGGATAAGCGCGATTTTAGTTCGTTAGAAGATGCGATTTTCTGACTGGGGCCCCAAATTAAAAGCGGGTCGGTTCTTTTGTAACTTGGATTTATAAATTGGGGTGAGAACTCCCTAAATCACTTTTCCAATTAATAGATTAGTCGGCTTGTGTTAAATTAGGCTACACATCCGGGAGCCGACGCATGGGGATTTTCTTGGGGGCTGAAATATATGAGTAATTTAAGAGATGATTTTTTTTTTCGTTTTTGAAAACTAAAATGTACAAAATTAAAAGTTTGGGGGGCAAAAATACATTAACTAATGCATAAATACAAAAAAAAAAAAAAAACTTAAAAAAAATCTTGGGGGGAATAGGCATGGGCCACACGATATATAATTTTAACTTATATATCGTGTGTTGTTCATAAGTTATTATTAAAAAAATCGAGATTTTTACTCGACGTACGTGTATGATTGATTGTTAATTAGTATGTTATAAGAAAATATATAATGTTAATTAAATTTAGCGATCCATTGACTAATGGCCTTTGATAGAGGGGAGTGAAATAATTAATTTCAATTTATATGAATAGATGAATCATGAATATTGGACGATCAATATTACATATCTCTTTTTATTTTATCAATGTCTGAATTTTTAACATGTTATAATAATTAATCATAATTCGTCTTAGTTATTCCAATTTGCATGTGACCACTGACTAATTAAAATAATTGCTAATGGATCTTGATGTTAATTTGCTGGGGTCAAAGGAACGAGCAATATGGGTACAATTACGGCTCCTTCGACCCTATACCTGGTGATAAACACTGGGTGGGCCTTCTGCTGCCACGTGTTTTTTTTTCTTTTCTAAAATCCCTAAAGGTAACTAAAGGGAATATATTATAAAATACAAAAAAGAGACACGTGGCAGCAGAAGATCCACCCAGTGTTTATCACCGAGTGTAGGGTCGAACAAATCGTACAATTACGTACAGCACTATATACGTTCATGCACGAGCACCTAGTGACGGAAATGTGCAAAATTAAATAAGTATGAGGAATATTATAATACGTATTATAATAAGTTTCACACCGATACTAAAGTGGTGTTTGCAAAAACTCATGTAGAAACATAAGTTATGGATTGTGAGCAATGGCGGAACTAGGATTTGATATTAGGGTGGGCTAAAATATACTGAGATTCGGGGGCAGTGCCCTCGACTATTTTTAGAAGCTATTCATAAAATACATGACAAAACATGTAAATATAATATTCAAAATGTAATTATTGTAGCTCTTTAAATTACAATTGGGTGGGCTAAAAATGAATTAAATAGGCTAATTATATTAAACAATAGTAAAATAGCATAAAAAAATTGAGTGAGGGTGAGCTTCAGCCCACCCAACACTCTACATAGCTCCGTCAGTGATTGTGAGTTATGTTGGTTTCAAGTGTTTATTCTAGAAGTTGGGGGTATTTAAAAATTTATTGAAAAATCAACTTAAATAGAAAAAAGTAAGGGCATGGGTGCTTAACAAATTATAGCTTAAAGTTACTTACTTTAAGAGAATCAAAGGAAAAGTTCATTTTGTAAACACTTCAGAATAAATTATGAGTAAAAAAAAGCTCATAATCTATTTATAAAAACTTTTACAAACACCACCTAAATAACAATCAGAAATATTAAAGAAAGACGATTAAGAGAAAAAAAATTGTTTTTTTTTATTGTGATTGTCTGTAGGAACGTTCACCTAATTACGTATGTTAATGTACACATTTTTTTAGACATTAACGTCGTCGAAGCGCCAAAATCGGCCGATAGTATAGGAGACTAGTTAATTTTGTATTTGCAAAAAGAAAAATAAATGAAATTATAATTAATTATTTATGAACATTGATAACTATCACAAAGTATTGAGTCATCAACATCACACGAGCATTCAACTTAGGGAAGTAATTGTGAAATCGAATTTTAACTATAAATAGTATCATTTTAAAAGATAAAGTCACGAGTTTAACTTTATTTGGTCGTTAATTGGAAAGTAAAAATTGCTACGTTAAGATGGTGTTTGTAAAAGTTTTTTTAAATGCCGAAGTTATGGATTGTAAGTTAAGTTGGTTTTAAGTACTTATTTTTTAAAGTTGGAAGTGTTTGTAAATAAATTGAAAAATAAACTTGAACATAAGTGGTTTTTGTGCATAAGTCCCCAACCAAGCATTTTTATTATTTAGGTTTAGGGGCTATATCTCTTTCACCAATAAATCCATGCTTTTAATATTTATTATAAATAAATGAAACATTCATGTATATGACAAGATTACCCCCAACCATTTATATCCAATTCTTAATTATAACCCCAATTTAATCAATTTTGTCCAAAAAATCCAATTTTGACCACAAAAATCCAATTTTGACTTTTTTTTTCAAACAAAAAATTTTTTTCAAATTTTTTTGGCCGCCGGATTCCGGCGGTCAACGCTGGTCTCCGGCGTTGACTTTTCAATAATCTTTTTCCTAGTCTGTTTTTTTCCACCGCCGGATTGCGGCGTCGACTTTTGTTACTGTTTGTTTTTTATGTCCGCCGCTAAACGTTGACCGTAATTGTGTTGCCATTGACAGTAAATTAACGTAATTATACTGTCAATGGCAGTTAATTAACGTAATTGTACTGCCGTTGACAATACATTTATGTAATTGTTCTGCCGTTGACAGTAAATTAACGTAATATTATTATTTTTATTTTTTGTTATTTATTTTTATTTTGTTTGATTTGTTGACAAGTCAACATAATTATGTTGACAGTAAAATAACTGTAAAATATGTAAAATAATTGTAAACACAATAATATTACTGTCAATAACATCAATATTAATAGTTTTTTTTTGGTTTTTTGTTTTGTTTGAGTTATTCACGGAGTAACGTAATAATATTACTGTCTATTATCGTTCTATTATCGTAATATTACTGTAAACACAATAATATTACTGTTGTTGACGGTAATATTAATGTTGTTATAGTAATATTGATGTCAACCACATCAATATTATTATTTTGTTTGGATTTTTTTGTTTGTTTGAGTTATTCACGGAGTAACGTAATAATATTACTGTCTATTATTGTAATATTTACTGTGGTTGACGGTAATATTACTGTTGTCATAGTAATATTACTGTCACTCACAATAATATTAATTCTTTTGGCATTTTATTATGTTTACATTTGTTGAACAGTCAACATAGTAATATTACTCTATTACACAATAATAATGAGTTTTGTTGTGTTAATATTACTCTGCTAGAGATTAATATAACAAATTTAATGTGTTAAACTGTAGTATAGTTAATTTGACTGTGTTTAACAATAATATATTTAATATTACTGTCAATCACAACAATATTGTTGTTTAAACGAAAAAAAAGTCAACGCCGGAATCCGGCGGCAAATTTTTTTTTTTTTTGAAAAATAAATTTTGGGTCAAAATTGAATAATTTGTGAAATTTGGGGCAAATTGAGGTTAAATTAAATTATGGATGAAGTTGGAGCATATTAAAGTATGATGGGCTATTTTAGTCCTTTACAAAAATCTGGACCATGTGTCGATTTATTTGTGAATGAGTTTTTTGTATGGTTCTCTTTATGAATAAATACCCATTAATGAACTTCTTTGTTAAGACCTCTAAACCGAAAAAAAAAAAAAAAAAAAAAAAAAAAAAAAAAAAAAAAAAAAAAAAAAAAACATGATCATCGGTGTGTAACAAATTATACCTTAAAATTGGTTATTTTAAGAGAACCAAAAGTAAAAGTTCATTTTGCAAACACTTCAAAATAAATTATGAGCAAAAAAAAAAAAAAAAAAACTCATAATCTATTTGTAAAAACTTTTGCTAACGCCACCTAAATAATGATCGGAAATATTAAATAAAGAAGATTCAGAGAAAAAAAGTTGGTTTTTTTAAAAGTGGTGCTATTTCCATCAAAGTATCTCAATTCACCACCAAAGATTATTAAATTTCATAAATACCCCTCAAATTTATAATCCACCATCCTTCATTATATTCACTTAAACCTATGTGTTCTAAGTTATTTATATTTTATTTTTTATTTTTTTTGAAATATTTATTACAAGATATTTAAACTTCCATATCAGATGACCTACAAATTATGTAATTTTATTTTTTAGGAAACGAAATTATATTAAGCCAAATTGGTCAGTTATGGAGGAAGTTCAGGACCTTCCATACAAACAATCTTACTTTATTTCTCAAAAAACGAAAATTCCTGCTCTTTTTGACATTCGAAAATATTTTTCTCTGAAGAAAGTATTATTCACTTAAGGTGGAGAGGATGGGATTTCCAGTGAAAATGATGGGGTTTTTATTATAAATATTTTAATTAGTTTAGTGGTAGATAGTTTATGAATTTGTAAAAACAATATAAGAGAAAGAAGAAGAAACGGGTAAAATGAAAAATATATTTAATTTGATAGTAAAATAAGATACTTTGAGGATGAAAATAGTATGTCCCTTTTTTTTTAATTGTACTTTTTTTTTAATTGTAATTGTCCGTAGAAACATTCACCTAATTACATATGTACATATTTTTTAGGCATTAACGTCGTCGAACAGCCAAAATCCAATATTACAAGAGACTAGTTAATTTTGTATTTGCAAAAAGAAAAATAAATGAAATCACAATTAATTATTTATGAACATTGATAACTATCACAAAGTATTGAGTCATCAACATCACATGAGCATTCAACTTAGGGAAGTAATTGTGAAATCGAATTTTAACTATAAATAGTATCATTTTAAAAGATAAAGTCACGAGTTTAACTTTATTTGGTCGTTAATTGGAAAGTAAAAATTGCTACGTTAACACACAATCCAAGAATGTGTTACATTTATCAAATACAATGTATGTTGCTGGATTTTAGTACATATTGGATTTAGCTACATG